TTTTTACCAGGGAAGTGCAATTTCGCCTGTATATGTTTCATATATACACGCTAATGGAATTGAAAATATTAATTTATCTATAATATTTGAAAAGTTAAGTATACATATATGAATAGTAAGAAAACGAGATGTAAAATGTGCACGGTTTTTGTCTATTGTTTATTAAGCGGTTAGGAATATGTAATAGAATTGAAAGTAATAGTGTTACGATTAGAAGTTGAGATCAATTAGAATTTATAAAGCATCGAATTTTTTCATGAAATAGTATGGTCTAACAGGGATTTCCATGCTCCTTCTCTTTCTTTCTCTCCCTTGTATTTATGACAAAAATAGTACAAGAGAAAAAATGTATACCTTGTGCTGGAGCAATGTCAGCTCCCAGAACTAGTGCCGCAGCCGTTGCTCCGGCCACTCCGGCAGCGCCTACATGAGGTCCTTCGTTCTTGGCTTCTTGACTGAACGACAGTCTTCGTCGTTGAGGACAGTTATCCGAGGAGCATGCGTGTTTTGTGCCATTGGCTCTGGTGTGTTTATGTTTTGATAAATTTCTTCTATGCAAATCAATGAAGAATAACGTAAAACTGCCAACCAGGACACACGTCGAGCTAAAGTAGTAGCCAGCCTTACCGCCGCAACCAACGTTTATGTATCCTGCAAAATACGTTCCATGTGAATTACTAGTGTCTCGTTCCAAGATGCTTATATATTCAAGAATAAACACGGGCCAGTTAAGGTCGACTAAAAAGCTTAATTATCGATAAATAAAAAAATATTTCAAAGACTTATTTGTCGATAATTTTGTTACAATTGAAACATTTCAATAATTAAAGTGATTGCATGAGACAATAGAAATTATTCATAGGCTATCTACAATCGTCGGGACGTATGTGTTGCTACGTTAGATTTTTTTATTACCCGATATTGGTACTCCGATTGCAATTGGTATCGCTTGGGAGCATTGGACGAAACCCCACGTTTTGGCAAAGTTCCGCGCCCTCACTCTTTCGTACGTGTACATCTTTAGGCTATAATGATAGCCGCCGCAGAAAATGCCTACAGGAAAATAATTTTTTTTATTGCTCGTAACGTGGTCTCAAAATCCTCTATTGCGGAAGGTAGCGAAGAAAAGGCGGATTACTCGCGCTGTTAGATCCTCATTATTGTTTTTCTACACGGACAAAATGCTGTTAAACTAAAAAAATGAGGTTGCTTGAATTAAGCGTTAACGTCACGGGCTGCCACAAACGTAAATAATTTACGCAATTTATGTATTTGCTGTGGATTTTAATTTTAAGCATTGAACTAAATATCCAGATTATTAAGACAATTATTTCATGTTTTTCATTCATGAATACTGACGTTGTTAAATGATTCTATTTCAATTACACTGATCTCGTTGATGCAACATCATTTTCTTCCGTGTATAATAACTTTGGTTGTTTCGATGCTCAGTCATTTCCTAAACTTTGTTACCTCGGAGAATGAGACGAAATATGTAGTAAAATCCCGGAATTACTTCCGTAATCTTATTATATCATAGGCATATTATCGTGATACTACGTTGTAACAATACATCAAAAGCAATATATTTAACGATTGACAATTATATAACCATATATTTTTTATCGAACACAAAATCAAATGCAATCTTTAAGAATATCTTTTCTATTAAAACATTGAGTTTGTTAGAGTACAAGGTAGAATATGGATTTTATTATTAATCAATAGAGCGATAATGAATGAGACTTTACCGTAAATCCATGCAAACATAACGTATCCGTGATAATTTCCTTGAACGGCGGTAAGAGCGAGAATGCAGAGTCCGCATACAAAGACGGCTGCTTGCGTAAGATATTGGCGGGCTATCCTGCATTCGACGCTACGATGGACGACGAGAAGCCCGAAAGCTACGCAGCCAAGGGTCCAAGCCAGGCCTAGATAAGCCTGCAGCATGACAACAGTATCACCTAGACCTTCCTCTTCGGCTTGATGTGCCTGCACAAAAAGAAATCATTTAGTTTCATTTGCATTTCCGATGGGTTTTATTTGTGAATTTTATTTGTCGTTTCTTGTGTTTGAATTCGAGAAATCAAGTCAGCATACTGACCTATGTTCAGTAAATGATGAATTTCTGTTATTTTATATAACTATTAAATATTATTATGTTACTTTTAGGTAAAATTAATTTTTACAAGGAAACGATATTTTACTTTTAAATTTTAGGTAATTATGCATAAAAGGGGCCTCCCCTCCGATTTCATTTATTTTTTAGTATGTTGTTGGGGAGGGGTCTTCCCGAGTAATTTCATATATACAGGGTGTCAGATTCGATATGGACAATCCCAAAGATTATAA